AAATGCATTTCGGAAGGATTTTTGTAATTAGAACGAACCAGATGAAACAACTTGTTGTTAAAAAATTTCGTTCAAGTGATAATTTTTAAATAAAAGCTGTTGAAAGTTATCGAATTAGCATATTAGATTTTACGCGAGGCAGGAACGGCAGGCACCTTGCAGAATCAGGCAATGTCATTTGAATTAGATTAATTTAGTTTTTTTATCTCGCTTAAAATCTTATTACGTAGCTCAACGTAATATCTAAATTTACCATTATTTTGAATAGAACTTATTTGTATAAATAATTCATATAAATAATAATATTTCACTGGTTTTTTTCAAGACCACAGATATTTTTAAAATATTGGAACAACACTTCGCACAAAACATTATTTGTTTGTCGTTTAAGTATATTACTTTATTTATAATCGTTTTTCCAGAGTGGCATCGATAAAAAATTCTCTCGTATTAAATTAAGTTTCATTCAAAATAACGGTAAATGCAGATAGTACTTGTTTGATGAATTTCTATTTTATATGTATAGTCTCAGATTGACAAAAGAATGAAGACTGACGTTGAAACTGAGCCTTTTATCGACGGTTATCGGGCAAATCAGACGCGACACGAAATAGAAGGGCTTCCTTTTTTGCTTTCGCTTACGCGCGAGTGCGGGCTTTTGCATAGAGGCGCATTCGCCGCGGGGATGAAACCACGCGTGTAATGAAGCTCGACAGGGAAACCGCGAACTGTGTCACGTAATATTACGGACGTCTGTTTGTCTAGAATTTTTGCGGACATGTCGCTCGCTTTAAATACCTCTGTGCAACTGTGGCGTGACAATGGTAATAAATCCCGCTATCGTTCTAAATACATATTACGATACGTAGTTGTATCAAGGACAATAATCACAGTCACAACATATTTACAAAAATATTTTGGACTTAGAGGAAGAAGACGTAATATCAAATTCGTGAGATCGACGCAATTATTTGACGTATGGAATTTTTGGAAAGCCTAACATTCCTAACACCCTGTACAGCGATAATGTTACCAGACTTTTTAGGTTATTTTTATTTCGATACTCAGTCACCAAAGTCTTATCTGTTCGAATCCAGATGTATATATTGTTCTTGCGCACATTTCGCGTCATTATGTAAAATATGACGAGGCTTCAAGAAAGGAGGATTGTCAATAAAGTTGTGTCTCTGCGTATGTTAAACCTTTTTAAAACTGTACTGACCTGATGATTGAATATTTCAGATAAAATTATCTTTTCCGGACTATTTAATGCTTTACCACTAGAGTGCATTACGTCTTACTTCTATCAGATAATCCAGGAATGCTGTCTTTCAATCCAAATATTGTAAATATTGTAAAATATCGTACAAGTTTAGTGAAGAGGAATAAAGTAACAAATAAAAAAATACGATCAGGATCATATTATTAAGTTATATAAACAGGTTCTTAGAAATATAACCGGAGAAAAAAAGATAAAGCCAATTACAGCCGGTCGCAATTATTGGTACGAATATTTCAACTATGGGAAGATAATAATGTTTAATAATGTGATGATGCACGCGATGAATCAATTTGTCACATCAAATCATCCTTTATTTCAATTATTAATATTAATAATATTAATTAATTGGTAATATTAATGAATAATTCCCACTATTTATTCCCAATTATTTTATAATGTATTTCTTTCATTTTTCTTTAATTTAGTTTTGTATATTTCTTTTTTTGTAGTATTGTAAAAAGAAGCGCCGTAGTCAATAATCGAACTTGGACCTCCTCACTTGCTGAATTACCGAGGTTTCGACAATATTCAGTATTTTTTTGCAACACTGAATAGAAATAAAAAAAAAAGTGCAATTAAATTATTCGGAAAGAATAGCAGGAGTTAATATTAATAATTACGATAAATACAGGCTGGTTTTACGTGGCAGGTTGATTCACCGCGTACTTTGCAAAATTCCGGAAAAATATTCGGCAAGTGCGCTTTCACATTATTATTTCCCAATAGTTTAAATATTCGCACTGATAACCACGATCTTATATAGTCTTCTTTCTCTTAAATCAAGATCATTTCTAAAGTATTCAGGAAACTTAACCTACTGGACCAACATGACTTTCAGAAGATCTGACACAAGGAGAAAACCGCCTTGTTAACACTCCACTTGCCTCTCTCGCGTTATTCATGATTGTCTAGGTGCAAATGAGCCACTTTAAATCATATACACCAAATCGATAATTTTAATCAGACAAAAAATCAAATAAATCTATCCTTTGATAAAAACGAAGCAATTCGAGTTCGAGTGAAGAAAGGTGAAGCTTTATTACACTGACCTCATTTTTCCCACAATATTGATGTTAGCGTTTAGGAGAATACATGCGTATTCGCGTATACTCAACACAAATTCTCGTATGATGGGGAGAGAGGGAGAAAGTGAAAGCGAGGAAAAAAATATATATATCAAACGGGACTTTAACCTTTTAACTGATCATGAAGCGGTCGTGTATGTTACTATTCTCCCCCGCAACGTTTACGGCATACAGATGTATACCACTCATCATTGGCCAACTCTCACATGTGGCAGTGAGCATGACACGCACGGTCGGTCAGGCTCGGATTAAGGAGGCTCAAGGCTAATTTCAGTTTAGGGATCCTCCGCGACATTGGGCCGACTACCACGTGGAGATTATAACGTTTGTCGGCTCCATCCTGTTTCTTAACCGTGCAGTTAATGCCGGATCACGGTGCGCGTAATAGACATTCGTCGGCGAAGAGTGAATTCGTCGCTGTAATCGTAGCGGACTACTCACGGGAAAAATAAACAATTTTGAGCCAGTTAAATCGTTATAAAGCTTATCGTATTAAAAAAAATCTAAATGCAAGATACGTACGCTTGTGATCGTTAATCATCGGTTATTGAAACGCAAAAATGTCGAAATAATGACGACAGAAATAAAATAATAATAATAATACTGATATTTATATAAAAGAAATAAAGTTCGCAGAAAAAAAAGTGTATTTCGAAAATGTGTATTTTAAATTAACACTCACTAACGAGATCAAATATATCAGTAAAATCAAGAGAAAAGTTATAGCTATAGGTATGTTATTTATGATTTTCTGGCTTACGCGGCGGTATGTCGGAATGCATTAAGAATGAATCACAATGCAATTCCGGTCTACTTGTTTCTCTCTCTATCTCTGGAAAACGCCACGGTGAAACATCTCTTGTTGCGAATGTGTGACACAGAGTACTTAACTTCATTTTTACTCGTTCTTCTCGTTATCTATGACAGTATATATACTCTTAAAATTGAAGAATCAAAGTTATAATACAAATTTGGAAATTATAAATTCTCTGGAACAAATCCAAGAAAAAAACAGATGACTTATATAATAGGTGATCTCATGCGTTTTTAATTTATTGCTTTTGGTCGAAAATTGTTTTCGAATATTTGATAAAACAATATTTTTTAACTACTTCTTAATTTAACGATTTAATTTATGCATTATGTGTGGAACGTGCGTGCCTAACGACGAAAAATTAGAACTTTTTTTTTAACGAAGTACAAGACACGCGGCGCGAGACGCATTCGAGCCTGACGGAACCGAGACCTATTAGCAAAAAAAAGGAAATAAAGGAGTAACACACCGTGAAACATTGTTTTCTCATCGTTAAAGTTCGAACAGTTCGCATCACAAATTTAAAAGACAATCATTCGGTAAAGGGTTGGGAGGGAGAGATAAAAATAATCGTCAAATTTTTCAGCCTCATGTTTCGTTTGCGTGTTTACACTACTGTACGCGAACGTACAGTAGTAGCAGTAAAAATTGCAGAAGTATAAAGTTTAGAAGTATAAAGTTAAGAGCATGAAAGTGTTACAAATGCAAAGTTAAGTTTGTATCTTTTGCGATGCGTGCATTCATATTCCTATAAGCGCGTAATATTATTTAATATTAAATAATATTTCTGGAATATTAATAGATCGTTATATGTCCACTCCTCTAATAATATTAAAAAAATAATGTTATTTAATGTTATTGTAATATTATATATTTTTTAATAATTCTTTAATAAAAATATTCAACTCTGTGTGTGTGTGTGTGTGTGTGTGTGTGTTATTTATATATATGTTTCTATACTATTATTATTTTATTTTTTTTTATATTCTAAGAATATTTTTATAATATGCCAAGAATATTATGTGAAGTGGACATCAATGGAACATTCTTATAATATTAAAAAATATTATATAACATTCTTAGAATATTGTAACAATATTATTTTAATATTGAATAATATTTATATAATATTCTAGAAATATTATACATTCCGCACTTATAGGAATTGTATTTTAGGCTTCAATATAAACTTTAAATCTACGTGGATTATTTGCACATTTGTGATGTTAATTTTTTGATTTATATTTTATTTATATTTCTAGATAGATTTATTTACACTTACTTAAAGATACATATATGTAAATTATGTAATATATGTAAATTATGTATATATGTAAATTAGAGGTAAATTATTATAATTTACATATGAACATTAATCCATACGTGTACTTCATTTTAATTTAAATTTTCACTTTTGAATATAAAGTTCTTTATTGGAAAAAGTAAAAATATGACGTTTTTTATCAGCAGAGTTTTTCTTGAATCGCTGATCTAACAGATGGCGTTACAGTATCTACATGTTACAGTCATCGTTGATATACTATCACCGTGTTATCTAACCTGATAATGTTTTTTTTTGTTCCTGTTAAATGTTTCCTTTTTTACATTAGGCATCTAACAATTTTTCAAATCTCTCACTGCGTGTGTTGTCATTCACGATGTGATAGTGTGCACAACCTTCCAGAATTTATTTGTTCTAACTTATTTATTTTCATAAATATATTCGTTCAGCAAATTATAGGAAAATTAAATTTATCTAACATCAAAATTATACCCACATACTAGAAATATTTAAAATATTTACGGGGATATCTTAAAGATATCTCGATATCTTAAGGATATCCTTATGGTCAAGTGTAAGTAATCACCAACGCGAGGTACTTTTTTTCTTTTTCCGGAACGAAAGATAATCACAGTTATGGAAATCCCTTTGTTACGGAACTCATATCTTCAGAGTATGAGTAATCCGGTAATGTTTCCTCTATCGGTCAATAAATTTCCCATTTGGACACATTAGCTCTGATATGAGATATTGTGCGTCACTTAATTGTTTCTGATTCCAATTCTCCGAATTCATTCTGATTTCTCGAGAGTATATCATGATCGATATACAATTCCGTGAGAAAAATTCCTCACATGTAATTATATACAGAATATGTCTATATATATAAATAAATAAATATATATTTACATATTTATATTTGTATATATTTATATGTAATCATAAATAACTCTGTATTGCCACTTCGTATATAATTACATATTTTTACATGAACATATTTTATACCTACGACGCCTTATATAATGTTTATATATAATTATACATGGAAGGTTTTTTCTCGGAATTGTTAATAGACATTAGAAATTTACGAGGTTTCTGATGTAAATTACCAAAGTTCGGAGTCCAGAAAAATGTTGAAAGAATTCATGAATTTCTAATGACATTTAGTAGTTAGATTTTTTTCTCCTGCAATTAAAACGAACTTTGAAGCATTGCGCAAGCAGCAAAATCACAGGATCATAATCACGCCGTCACTTGCGCACGCGCCGTTGCGTCGTTTGACGAGTTCACGATGATGTGATTCGCATCTCGTATGTGAATTCACGAGTTAGTTTTCGTGTTAACGCGAACGAGTGAGAACGCGGGATACTTGGTCACTGGTTTCCTGGTCGGTCTGTGCGATTGTCCATTCGTCGAAGTGCCGACGAAGAAAAATTTCGTGCCATGGAAGGGAGAGAGCGATGCGAAAAGAAAGTGGTGGAAGGTGTCGAGAGCCGGAAAATAACGCCGCGTTTGTTGGCCAAATACCTTCGACGCAATTGGTGTGCTCTTAGTGCGTGACACACACGAGCGTGAGAAAAATCCAGGATATACCGGTCGAATGTTAATTTTTGCCAATCGCCACGATCGCGAACGGAAGTTTGACACATTTGCGTTACGCGGGAATTCCGTTTCGAGATAGTTTGCGCGTGCGTGCCGGTAGCATAGGAATGTAAACTTGGTTAAAGAGTAACAATGATGTTCAAAATCTGCTAATAAATAATATTTGTGTGATCGATCGTGTTATCGATGATCGTCACGCGACGTTAATATAAACGTGCGTTTTAATCATTCAGTTTATCTAATCTCTTTCTCTTTCTCTCTCTCTACGCAATACTGATCAAATAGTATATAATATATAATAGTATGTTTTGATACGTTAGAAACTCTCTCGCTAATTAGCAGCGACCGGCATTCTCTCGTTAACCGGATACTGGTAAACATTCTCTTAATAAAATTAAAAAGCGATTGATGACGTCAATGTGTTAAGAATATTTTATGTTTTAATTACAGCACTGTTTGTACGACTAGACTAGTCGCAGATTGATTCATTTTTCCGTCTTTGTTTATTTCAGTGGTCATAGTCCTCGCAGTTTTGGAGTTCGGCGCGATTCCATACAAACAGTTTGGTTTCTTCTGCAATGACCCGAAGATCTCGCACAAATTTACCGGCGACACCATTTCCATGGTTACTTTGTTATCCTCCCTTTTATTAGCACCTTTGATAACGGTAAGCACGTGTAATTTTGCTGTCTATTCCATCCCGTCGGTCTTGGAATTCTCCTTCTCACAGGCGCGTTCTGCATATTTATACGAGTTTTTGTTCTGCTCTGAAATCTGCACATAAATTCATACAAATATAGATAAGCGAGTGGTTATTTATATATATATATATATATATATATATATATATA